AATACCACCCTACCCGTGCCCTTCGCTCCTCACAAGACCTCCTACTCTCTAGCACCCTGGTCTCCTCCCACGCCCGACTGCAGGACTTCTTTAGGACTTCCCCCATCCTCTGGAAACTCCCTACCCCAATCCATCAGACTGTCACCTACCCTCCTCACCTTCAGGCGCACCCTGAAAACCCATCTCTTCAGGGAAGCCTACCCCACCCTCACCTAACAGCCATTCTCCTCCACTCCTCCTACCACTCCATTCCCCACAGCCACTTCCTCCTGTACCTCTACCCCCTCCCTCCTAGATTGTAAGCTCGAAAGAGCAGGGCCCTTGAACCCCTCGTGTATTGTATTGTTACTGTATTGTCTCTTGTACTGTCCCCCCACTTTAATGTACAGCGCTGAGCAAACCCTTTGGTGCTATATAAATACTGTATAATAATACTCACTGCTCTTTGCAATGATTTTGCACAGAGCAGCCCCAAACCTCCTCTTCTGGGGTCTCGCCTTGGCCTACAATCTTGGCTCCTCTCTTGTCTACCCCCTTAGCAAGCCCCTTGCTATGTGGTCAGACGTGGACTCACCCTCAAGCTGGGCTGAGTGTTTCTATAGACTGGCTCAACAATGCTCCCTGCTCACAGGATTTGACTAACAGCAGCAGGAGCCTGCTATGAGAAGAGAAAGAAAACGTTTTTTTTTTTTTTTTTTTTTTTATGTAGGCAATGCATTAAGGTGAAAATCTTTAGTTTTAGAACCACTTTACTTTCGGATCTACTTAGAGTGGAAATCTGTCTCATCTTTGTAATAAATCTATCTTTTGAATTTTGCAAGTTGTTACACTTGCCTGCCCAGGAATGCAGACATGCAGGACTGGAAGGGTCCATGCACACTAGCTTTTTATAAGTTCAAACCCTAGAAAAAAAAATCTGGATACAAAACGCTAATAGCGTTTTTGTGCCGGCTTTTTTGAGAAGTAGCATTTTTACAGTCCATGTAGGAAAAGAAACAAACTAGAAAAAAAGATGTTAGGAGCGTTTTAGTAGCGTGTATGAGCGTTCAGCATTTTTTTTTTTCCTCTGCTAGAAAAACGCTCCCCAAAACTCGACGAAAACATTTTTTTTCTGCTCCTAGATGATGAAGCTAGAAAAATGCTACTAGCCTATAATAGTATGCATGGACACATATTTAGCTTCTAGGAGCAGAAACAAATTGCTGATAACAGCCAATACCGAGTATTTCCATGAGTACTCGTGAAAATGCTCCTCATACCGGAAACCGATACCTTGCGGTTCGATTTGTGTCCACACAAATTGCACTGCAAAGATTAGTATGCGATTCGAATGGGACTACGATTCCTCTCCAAATCACATGTGGTTTTCCCTACTTCTCCTGTGTGAACCCAGGCTTGTCATAGGGGCAGGAAAACCTCCCTGTAGGAATCCCATGCTGATTGGGGGATGTATACTATAGTGGCAGATTCTCCATATTCTCAGCGATAGGAGAGGGAGAGAAAGCAGTGGGGATTTGAAATCCCCACCACTTTTTTTCCTCTTCTTGCAGAAAAGACAGTTCAGGCTAGAGGGCTTTCAATTGGTCAGCACCATCACATGGACTGATCTAGCCCGTACTGTCATCGCTGCAAGGAGAGGAGAGGAAGCCATGGGGATTTCAAATCCCCAGACCTGTGAAGCGGCTTTCTCTCTTCTTCTTGCAGCGCTGACAGTACAGGTTAGATGGCATTTGATTGGTCAGCACGGTCCATGTGATGGTGCTGACTAGACAAAAGCCCTCTAGCCCAAACTGTCATCCCTGCAAGGAGAGGAAAGAAAGTGGCAGGCATTTCAAATTCCCCACCGCCTTCTCACCTCTCCTACCACTGAGAATATGTAGCATCTGTCACTATAGTATACATCTCCACTCCACTCTCTGCCTGAAACCTCCCTGCACAGCTCCTGTGTGAACTCAGGTTATGACAGCAGCAATGGGGAAACCCTAATGCAATTTTGGACAGGAATTGCATTTCAGTTCAAATCCCATGCTATTCTTTGTGGTGCAATTTGTGTCCATACATTTTTGTATAGACACAAATTGCATTGCAAAGGATTGGTAATTGGTATCGGGGAGTACTTGACTGGTTAAACAAAAAAAAAATCGATCGTGCATACCTGGTAAGTACATTATTTATTTCTCTTTTCTTTTTTTTTCTTTTTTTTTTGTGCAGTTGTCCTAAAAAGTTTGCATGCCCTGGCAGAAATCGTGAAATATTGGCATTTATATTGAAAAATATGACTGATCGTGCCAAAAGGTTCATTTCCCACATCTGTGGCTTTTTAAATTGCAATTAGTGTCTGTGTATAAATAGTGAATGAGTTTGTTAGCTCTTACATGGATGCACTGAGCAGGCTAGATACTGAGCCATGAGGATCAGAAAAGAACTATCAAAAGACCTGTGTAACAAGGTAATGGAACTTTATAAAGACAGGATAAAATATATTCATATGTCCATCTCCCTTGAATATGCCAGTCTGTACTGTTCAGTCACTTATTAAGAAGTGGAAAGTCAGGGACCTTTTGACACAACTGCCACAAGAATTGTTTCAGGATACAAAGAAAAACCCACAGGCAACCTCCAGGATAAATACAAGCTACTCTGGAAAAAAAAAAAGACGGCGTGCTTGTTTTGAAGGAGTAAAATACGATGATTACTTGGAAAAAAAAAATGAGCTGAATGGTCAAGTTGACAGAAGCCTTTACTTTACCAATGCCACAAGAAAGCTTGGTTACAATATGCCCGACAACGCTGTCACACAAAAACTCATGGGCTTTTTTGTGGCATTGCTTCAGTAAAGGTTTCTTTCTGGCAACTTGACCATTTGCAGCTATTTTTGTTTTCAAGTATTGTCATATTGTGCTCCTTCAAAACAACCACACCGCCGTTTTCTAGAGCATCCTGTATTTCTCCTGAGGTTTCCTGTGGGTTTTTCTTTGAATCCCGGACAATTCTTCTGTCAGTTATGGCTGCAATCTTTCTTGGTCTACCTGACTTGGTTGGTATCAAGAGATCCCCGCACTTTCCACTTCTGAATAGGTGATTTAACAGTACTGATTGGTATATTCAAGGCTTTGACAATCTTTTTATGTCCTTTTCCATCTTTATAAAGTTCCATTACCTTGTTATGCAGGACTTTTGACAGTTCTTTTCTGATCCCCATGCCTTACTATCTAGCCTAGTCAGTGCTTCCACGTAAGAGCTAACAAACTGACTATTTATATACACTGACACTAATTGCAATTTAAAAAGCCAGAGATGTGGGGCATTAACCTCTAATTGGCATTTTAACCCGTGTGTGTGTCACCTTGTGTGTCTGTACCAAGGCCAAACATCCCACGGTATGTAAACTTTTGATCATAGCCATTTGGGCGATTTTTCATGTTTCATACGATCATCATCCTTCAATAAAAGAGCATTTTTTGGCATGATCAGTCATATTTTCAATATCAATGACATTTTCACAATTCTGCCAGAGTATGCAAACTTTTGAGCACAACTGTATAGTAGTAATGTCCAGGGAAAAGTGCATTTTACTAGATAGTGCTGCAATGCATTGTGCATATATTTAATAATGGCATCCAGTGCCATTATGAGTGCAGTACATCACTCCATAGGGCAAGTAGCTTGTGCTGTGTTGGCCAAATGTTCAGGTCAGTGGGAGGTTTTCACCAGAATACAATGATCACTGCTGGTGGTTATAGACACTGGCGGTGATCGAACTAAAAAAAAAAAAACCTAGAGGTTGATTGTATTAAAATTCATCAATAGATCAAATTCAGAACAGCCAGCTTGCCCATAGAGTATTGATTGGGCCGGTTCCTGCAGAAACTGGCCAAATTTTGACCTGTCTATGGCCATGCTTTAAGCAAAGAACACAGGAGGCACAATGACTGCATAGGCCACATACCAGCTGTGAGATAAAAGAAGGGGTGCAGGGAGTAATGGAGATTTGTCCATAGAGCTAGCCAAACACTGCAAATGTTAGCAAATTTATGTATATTAGATTAAATTTAAGCTGTAGAATAGCCATGTTCCTACAACCCCAGCCTCAACAAAAGTCAATTAATCAAGTTAAATTTTACTTTCAAGTGATGTGGAAGCAGAGCTCAAATCATAACTGCACATTATTATAGCACCATCCCAAAAAGATTATATATATATTACACATACTATAATGCAAAAGTATTTGGACACCCCCCCCCCCCCCCCCTCCAAATCTAATTGGATTCAGATGTTCCAATTACCTCCATGGCAACAGGTGTATATAAAATCAAACACATAGGCATGCAGACTGCTTCTACAAACATTTTGAAAGAATGGGTTGCTCTCAGGAGCTCAGTGAATTCAAGCTTGGCGTGGTACCGTGCTAGGTTGCCACCTGGGCAATAAGTCCATCCATGAAATTTCCTCGCTACTAATATTCCACGCTCAACTGTTAGTGGTATTATAAACAAAGTGGAAGCAACTGGGAACAACAGCAACTCAGCCACGAAGTGGTAGGCCACGTAAAATGACAGAGCGGGGTCAGCGCATGCTGAGAGCAGTGTGCAGAAGTCGCCAACTGTCTGCAGAATCAATAGCTAAAGACCTCCAAACTTCATGTGGCCTTCAGATTAGCATAACAGTATGTAGAGAGCTTCATGGAATGGGGTTTCCATGGCCGAGCAGCTGCATCAAGCTTCCCTGACTGTATTGTGCCAAGTTTAACTTCTTGCCGACCGACGCATACCGAATGACGCTTCACCGCGGACGGCTAGTTCTGAGTGGACGTCATATGACGTCCTCCCAGCTAACGCGCTCTACCCTGCGTCGCCCCAGGGGGCGCGCACACCGGCGATCTCCGTGATCGCTGTGTCCTACGGACACAGCTGATCACGTGATGTGGTGAAAGGCCGATCCCACCGGCCTTTTACCACGTGATTCAGCGGTGTCCCAATGACACGCCTGATCACAGGGAAATGCAAGTGCCGGTTCTCGCTGCACTTTCCTCACGCTGTCAGATCGTGAGGAAAGTACTGCCAAGAACCGCAGTTGTCAGAGCGGGGATCGGCACCGATCATCAGGGCACTGATGATCAGTGCCCTGATAGATCGGTGTCCACAGCAGTGACACCCGCAAGTTCCGCCCAGCAGTGCGCCCACTAGCCCTGCCCACCCGTTCCCAGCAGTGCCCCCACCTGTGCCCAGCAGTGCACCCACCTGTGCCACTCTGCAGTGCCACCTACCTAGTGCCCAGAAGTGCCACCTACATGTGCCCCAGCAGTGCCACCCACCTGTGCCCACCAGTGCCACCCACCTGTGCCTGCCCACCAGTGCCACCCACCAGTGCAGCCCCAGCAGTGCCACCCACCAGTGCAGCCCAGCAGTGCTGCCAGTCAGTGCCGCCAGTCAGTGCCCAGAAGTGATGCCCAGTCAGTGACCGTCTATCAGTACCCATCATCAGTGCCGCCTATCCGTGACCCCTAATTAGTGCTGTCTATCAGTGCCGCCTATCCGTGCCATCTCATTAGTACTGCCTATCAGTGCCCTTTAGTGCTGCCTATCAGTGCCCATCAGTGCCGCCTATCAGTGCCCATTCAGTGCCGCCTCATCAAACGCAAATCAGTGAAGGAGAAAAAATACCTGTTTGAAAAATTTTATAAAAAAACAAATAAACTTTTTTTTTTTTTTTCAAATTTTTTGCACATTTTTTAATTTATAGCGCAAAAAGTAAAGCGCCCAGTGGCGATTAAATACCACCAAAAGAAAGCTCTATTTGTGAGAAAAAAATGATCAAAATTTCATATGGGTACAATGTTGCATGACCGCGCAATTGTCAATCAAAGTGCGGCAGCGCTGAAAGCTGAAAATTGGCCTGGTAAGGAAGGGGGTATAAGTGCCTGGTAGGCAAGTGGTTAAAGTTTGGTGGAGGGGGGAAGGGAACTCTTAAGATGTCAGCATACCAAGACATTTTGGACAATTTTATGCTCCCAACTTTCTGTGAACAGTTTGGGAACACCTTTGAGATTAATTAGAATAGAGACTGCGAGCCAGGCCTTCTCGTTCAACACTAGTGCCTAATCTCACAAATGTGCTTCTGGAAGAATGGTCAAACATTCCCATAGACACCCTCCTAAACCTTGTGGACGGCCTTCCCAGAAGAGTTGAAGCTATTATAGCTGCAAAGGGCGGGGCCAACTCAATATTGAACCCTACGGACTAAGACTGGGATGCCATTAAAGTTCATGTGCGTGTAAAAGGCAGGCCGACCAATACTTTTGGCAATATAGTGTATATGTATAGAAAAGAGGATCTATTACTAGGTGTGGCTTTCCCGTTTAGAAAGGGACTTTACATGTGCCTAACAATGGGAGACATAAAAAACTAAATGTTTATAAATCTATTGGTTCATACAGTTAAAAGAGAGCCATCTCCCATTAAAAGTATATAACAAAGACATCCAGTTGTGCCATACAGTTCTCATAAGGCATTGCAAAATATAACAAGTTTCTAATATCAATGTGTTTCGCAATATTTGCTTCCTCAGCATGCATACTTAAGGTGAACAACTAGAAATAAAAAAAAAAAAAAAATATACAAAAACATAGAAAAGTAAATATACAATTACATTGATTGCAAAAAAATAATGATGACATGGGGAAGAGAAAGAGGAAAAAAAAAACACCAACACCTAACCCCACCCTCCCCACACATGCCTCAGCGGGAGAAACACTCTGGAGGAGGCAGTCCACAGGTGGACAGGCAAGAAGCTTGGGCGAGGTCAAACACACCCAAGGGCATCAGGAAAGACAATACCAGAAACCAAGTGATCCATATAGATCGCAATATATGGTGATTAGCCCCCCCCCCAATATGCCACCAGAATAAATTAACATGAAACAATTCAAATGAGTTTGCAGTGCAGACTTTCAGCTTTAGTTCAAGGGGTTGAACAAAAATATCAAGTACAAATTTTAGGCACTGCAACCATTTTTATACACAGTCCCTCCATTTTCAGGGGCTTAAATGTAATTGGACAAATGAATATAATCATAAAATGTTCATTTTTAATATTTTGTTGAGAATCCTTTACTGGCAATGACTGCCTGAAGTCTGGAACCCATGGACATTACCAAAGACTGGGTTTCCTCCTTTCTGAAGCTTTGCCAGGCTCTAACTGCAGCTGTCTTCAGTTGTTTGTTGTTTGTGGGTCTTTCTACCTTTTAGTTTTGCCTTCAGCAAGTGTAATGAATGCTCAATTGGGTTGAGATCAGATGATTGACACGGCTATTGCAGAATAGTCCACTTCAATTCTTTCAAAAGCTCCTGGGTTGCTTTTGCAGTGTGTTTTGGATCATTGTCCATTTATACTGTGAGGCACCGTCCAATCAACTTTGCTGCATTTGGCTGAATCTGGGCTGACAGTATATCTCTAAACACTTCATCCAGCTGCTTCTGTCTTCTGTCACATCATCAATAAACACCAATGACCCAGTGCCACTGGAAGCCATGCATGCCCATGCCATCACACTGCCTCCACCATGTTTTACAGATGATGTTGTGTGCTTTGGATCATGAGCTGTTCCAAGCCTTCTCCACACTTTTTTCTTCCCGTTATTCTGGTACAGATTAATCTTAATTTCATCTGTCCAAAGAATACTTTTCCAGAACTGGTCTGGTTTTTTTAGATGTTTTTTGGCAAAGTCTAATCTGGCATTTCTATTCTTCAGGCTTATGAGTGGTTTGCACCTTGTGGTGAACCCTCTGTATTTGCTCTCGTGAATCTTCTCTTGATTGTAGACTTTGACAATGATACACCCACCTCTTGGAGAGTGTCTTTCACTTGTCTGGATGTTGTGAATAGGTTTTTCTTTACCATAGAGAGGATCTTGCGTTCACCCACCACTGTTGTCTTCTGTTGACGTCCATGCCTTTTTATGTTGCTGAGCTCACCAGTGCGTTCTTCTTTTCAGAATGTACCAAACTGTTGACAGGGACACCTCCTAGGCCGGCCGCTGCACTGAAGGGACAACGGCGGCCTCTCTTCTTCACCCATGCTGGATGGGCTGTCTCATTGCTGGGCGGTCGCTGTCTCTTTGCTGATCGAGCTCTTTGTTGGATGGGTTGTCTCTTTGCTGGACTGGGCTATCTTTGTGCCCAGTTGGGTGGAAGGGATGGTGGCGGTGGATGGGGCTGTCTCTGCTGGATGGGCTGTCTCTTTGCTGGATGGATATCTCTTTGCTGGACAGGTTGTCTCTTTGCTGGACAAGCTGTATCTTTGCTGGAGGGGCTGTCTCTTTGCTGGAGGGGCTGTCTCTTTGCTGGATGGGGCTGTCTCTTTGCTGGATGGGGCTGACTCTTTGCTGGATGGGCTGTCTCTTTGCTGAACAGGATGTTTCTTGCTGGAGGGTCTGTCTCTTTGCTGGATGGGGCTGTCTCTTTGCTGAATGAGCTGTCTTTGCTGGAGGGGCTGTCTCTTTGCTGAACAAGCTGTCTCTTTGCTGGATGGGCTGTCTCTGCTGGAGGGGCTGTCTGTTTGCTGCTGGTGGGCTGTCTGTTTGCTGGGTGGGCTGTCTGTTTGCTGGGTGGGCTGTCTCTTTGCTGGTTGGGCTGTCTTTTTGCCCAGTTGGGTCCAGCAAAGAGACAGCCCAATCCAGCAAAGAGACAGCCCCATCCAGCAAACAGACATCCCGTCTTTGCTATATATTTGCTGTGTTGCCACTGAAAGGAAATTTTGCTGACCGGACCTCTGTAAATTTTAATCAAGACCCCTGCCATACACCATACCAATGTCCTAATCACCGTTATACCCCATACCAACTCCCTGATCACTGCCACACACCATACCAGTGTCCTGTTTACCACCATATGCCATACAGCACCCTGATCACCACCATCATATGCCATACCAGCACCCAGATCACCCCATACCAGTATCCTGATCACCACCATGCCCCATACCAGCATTCTGATCACCGCCACATCCCATATCCGTGTTCTGATCACCGCCATATCCCATACCAGCATTCTGATCACCACCATATACCATACCAGTGTCCTGATCACTGTCATACCCCATACCAGCATTCTGAACACTGCCATACTAGCACCCTGATCACCGCCATACCTCGTGCTAACGTCCTGATCACCATATGTCACGTGTCACCCCATACCATACCATCCTTCTAATCACCCATACGCCATACCAGTATCCTGATCACCCCATATCAGTGTCCTGATCACCACCATACTCCATACCAACATCCTGAACGCTGCCATACCTCGTGCTAATGTCCTGATCGCCGCCGTACCCCATACCAGTATCCCGATCACCATCATGCTCTATACCAATATCCAGATCACCACCATGCCCCATACCAGTATCCTGATCACCCCATTCCCAATATCAGTGTCCTGATCACCACCATACCCCATACCAGCATCCTGATCACTGCCATTTGTTATACCAGCGTCCAGCATTTCAGGGTCTCAACTGATCAATTTTCAAATACAGGTGAAACTCAAAAAATTAGAATATCGTGCAAAAGTTCATTTATTTCAGTACTGAAACTTAAAAGGTGAAACTAATCTATGAGATAGACTCATTACATGCAAAGCAAGATAGTTCAAGCCGTGATTTGTCATAATTGTGATGATTATGGCTAACAGCTCATGAAAACCCCAAATCCACAATCTCAGAAAATTAAAATAATACATGCAATCAATAAAACAAGGATTGTACATAGAACAATATCGGACCTCTGAAAAGTATAAGCATGCATATGTACTCAGTACTTGGTTTGGGCCCCTTTTGCAGCAATTACTGCCTCAATGCGGCGTGGCATGGAAGCTATCAGCCTGTGGCACTGCTGAGGTGTTATGGAAGACCAGGATGCTTCAATAGCGGCCTTCAGCTCTACTGCATTGTTCGGTCTCATGGCTCTCATCTTTCTCTTGGCAATGCCCCATAGATTCTCTATGGGGTTCAGGTCAGGCGAGTTTGCTGGCCAATCAAGCACAGTAATCTCACGGTCATTAAACCAGGTTTTGATGCCTTTTGGCAGTGTGGGCAGGTGCTAAGTCCTGCTGTAAAATGAAGTCAGCATCCCCATAAAGCTCGTCTGCGGAAGGAAGCATGAAGTGCTCCAAAATCTCCTGGTAGACGGCTGCGTTGACCCTGGACTTAATGAAGCACAGTGGACCAAAACCAGCAGATGACATGGCTCCCCAAATCAACACAGACTGTGGAAACTTTACACTGGACTTCAAGCATCTTGCAGTGTGTGCTTCTCCATTCTTCCTCCATACTCTGGGTCCTTGGTTTCCAAATGAGATGAAAAAGTTGCTCTCATCAGAAAAGAGGACTTTGGACCAC